GCTTGCTCACCAATGGATGTAAATGGGTGCCGTCAGAATGAGAGTCCAAACAGCTGATAAAAACATCACAAGTAACCCACACCACTCCAGTCCATCAATTAATGTCTTACAAACATGCAGCTTTTCTCTTTAAGACATTAACTGATGGACTGGAGTGGTGTGGGTTACTTGTGATGTTTTTATCAGCTGTTTGGACTCTCATTCTGACGGCACCCATTCACTGCAGAGCATCCATTGCTGAGACACTGATGCAATGCTACATTTCTCCAAATCTGATGAAGAAACAAACTCATCTACATCTCGGATGACCTGAGAGTGTGAGGACATTTTCAGTGAATTTACGTGAACTATTCCTTTAACCCGAATTACGCAAATATTCCAGACATCACAATTGTACATGTTTTTTTTTTTGTCATATTTACCACCGGTTTTCTCCAGTCAGCCTCGTCCGCAGAGAAACCCTCGAACTCGCCCTCGCTCTCTGTGTCCATGAAAGCCTGCGCCAGCTCATCTCTGATGTTTTTGGACCTGAAGCAAACATCCTGACACACAGAGAGAGAGAGAGAGAGAGAGAGAGAGTGACAGAACGCATTATTATTCCCGGATCGTGTGAAAACCATCTCAATTATTAATAGCGCTGTGTTGCAGCTACTGACAAATCATCGGAGATAAACAGCGTCAAGGAGACCTGCCGTGCTCTTGGATTTTCTCTGATATATTTCTATTTCTAATACGAACTCAGAAATGCAAATTAAAGACAATTCTATCTCAATCAGAGGAGACGCGGCATCTTAACTTGTGATTTACTAAAGCTATCCAGCGACACCAAGAAAAAAAAAAAAAATTCCCTTGATCACTTGTTCAATAAAATCTTAGACAAGTACAACACAGAAAATCAGGGTCAATGAAACCTCGATTTGTAACAAAAAATAATTGTTACTTGAAATATTATAAGTGTTAACTGAAATAAACTATACAAAATATTTTTTTAAATGTATTTATTTTTCAGTTCACATTTCACAACAATTTTTTGTGTGTGGTTTTAGTTTGGTAAATCAATTTTAAAAATATATAATATATAAATAATTACATATATATGCAAATATATGAATTTATTTATTTATTTTAACTTTTTTCCAACTTTTTTAAAGTTTAAAACTATTAAATAAATAAACAAATATTATATAGAAATTAAAAATTATAAAATAAATGATTAAAAAAAATATTGTTTTATTCAAGTAACATTGATTTCATTTCAAGTAACATTTTTTTGTGTTTGGT